CCGTTTTGGGGCCCTCTTAGGGCCGTCTTGGGAACCTCTTGGGCCGTCATGGAGCCATCTTGGAGGCCTCGTGGGCGATCTTGGGGGCCGTCTTGGGCCGTCGAAATGCCGAGAAGAAGCACATGCCAAAATCCTTCGAAAACCTACAGAAAAACCAATGATTCTGGCCTCTTCGAGCCCTCCTGGAGGACCTCTTGGAGGCCTCTTGGGTCGTCTTGGGCCGTCTTAGAGGCTTCTCGGGCGACCTTGGAGGTATATTGGACTCTCTGGGCCCGTCTGGGAGGCCGTCTTGGAACATCTTGGGCGGACTTGGAGGCAATCTTGGAGGCCATCTTGAGCCAACGTGGCCATCCTGGATGCCATCTTGAGCCGTCTTGGAGGGTTTTTTCAGGGATTGAGCTCCTGGGCAATCCTCCTGGGACCCCGGCGGGACGGGCCGAAGCCCCAGGGGGAGTTCTTTTGGAAAAAGAGCCGAAGCCAAAACCGAAATCGTCTAGCACGCCAGGCACCCCTGCGATGAATCGACAGGGGGCGGCGGATCGAAGACGCCTACGGCCAATCACCGCCGCCCCCTGCCTTTTTGGAAGCGCCTATGTGGCCGAACGTTGAGGCCAGACCTGCCAAGCTATCGGACCATGTGTTCCCCGAATCGGTTTTGAAAGCCTTCGGGGAACACGTGGGCATCTTGAAGGTCATCTTGGCCGTCTGGGAGCCATTTTGACCTGGCTCTTGGGCCGTCTTGGAGGCCATTTTGAGCGTCTTGGAGGCCTCTTGGGCCGTCTTGGGGGCCTCTTGGGGCCGTGTCTTGGGCCTCTTGGGCGATCTTCGGAGGCACTTGGGCCGTCTCGGGCCGTCGGAAGGCCCAAAAAAAGCAAATACCACAATCCTTCAACAACCCATGGGAAATCAATGATTTTGGCCTTTTCGGGCATTCCTGGAATCCCTCTTGGAGGCCTCTTGGGCCGTCTTGGGCCATCTTAGGGTCATGTTCGGCGGTCTTGGTGGGCTCCTGGTCCATCTGACGCCGTCGGGAGCCGTTTGGGGCCCTCTATGGGCCGACTTGGGGCCCTCTTGGAATGCTCCAGGGCCGTCTTGGAGGCCATCTTGGGCGTCTTAAAGGCCTCCTGGGCCGTCTTGGGGCCCGCTTGGGCCGTTCTGGGGCCATCTTGGAGGCCTCTTGGGCGATCTTGGAGCGATCTTGGGGGCCTCTTTGGCCGTCTCGGGCTGTCGGAAGGCCGAAAAGAAGCAAATGCCATAATCCTTCAAAAACCTAAAGGAAAATCCGTGTTTGTGGCCTCTTCTGGCCTTCCTGGAGGCCCTCTTAGGGGCATCTTGGGCCGTCTTGGGCCAGCTTCGAGCCAACTTCGGCCATCTTGGTGGGTTCCTGGCACGTCTGACGCCGTCGGGAGCCGTCTTGGGGGCCTTTCTGGGCCGACTTGGGGCCCTCTTGGGGCGCTTCGGGGCCGTCTTGGAGGCCATCTTTGGCGTCTTGGAGGCCATCTTGGGCGTGTTGGAGGCCTCTTGGGCCGTCTTGGGGCCCTCTTGGGGCCGTCTTGAGGGTCCCTTGGGCCGTCACGGGGCCATCTTGGAGGCCTCTTGGGCGATCTTGGAGCGATCTTGGGGGCCTCTTTGGCCGTCTCGGGCTGTCGGAAAGCCGAAAAGGCGCGAATGCCAAAATTCTTCAAAAACCTACAGGAAAATCAATGATTTTGGCCTCTTCGAGGCTTCCTGGAGGTCCTCTTGGAAGCCTCTGGGCCGTCTTGGAGGCATCTTGCGGGCCTTTTGGGCCGTCTTGGGCCGTCTTGAGGCCATCTTGGGCCGTCTTGGAAGCATCTTGGGGCCATCTGAGCCGTCTTGGAGGCCATTGTGGCTATCTTGGAGGTATCTTGAGGGTCATGTTGGACCATCTTGGAGGCCATCTTGGGCCAACGTGGCCATCTTGGCGCCATCTTGAGCCATCTTGGAGGATTTGTTTCCGGATTGAGCGCCTTTCGGATGGCCGGCGGGACGGGCCGAAGCCCCAGGGGGAGTTCTTTCGGAAAAAGAACCAAAACCAAAACCGAGAGGGTTTAACACGCCAGGCACCCCTTTGATAAATCAAAAGGGGGCGGCGGATCGAAGACGCCTACGACGAATCACCGCCGCCCCCTGCCTTTTTGGAAGCGCCTATGTGGCCGAACGTTGAGGCCAGACCTGCCAAGCTATCGGACCACGTGTTCCCCGAATCGGTTTGGAAAGCCTTCGGGGAACACGTGGGCATCTTGAAGGTCATCTTGGCCGTCTTGGAGGCCTCTTGGGCAAGCTTTGGGCGATCTTTGGGGCTTTTTGGGCCGTCTCGGGCCAGCTTCGAGCCAACTTCGGCCATCTTGGTGGGTTCCTGGCACGTCTGAAGCCGTCGGAAGCCGTTTGGGGGGCCTCTATGGGCCGACTTGGGGCCCGCTTGGAATGCTCCAGGGCCGTCTTGGAGGCCATCTTGGGCGTCTTGGAGGCCATCTTGGGCGTGTTGGAGGCCTCTTGGGCCCTCTTGGGGCCCTCTAGGGGCCATCTTGGAGGCCACTTGGGCCATCATGGGGCTCTCTTGGGGGCCTCTTGGGCGATCTTGGGGGCTTCTTGGGCCGTCTTGAGCCGTCGGAGAGCCGAAAAGGCGCAAATGCCAAAATCCTTCAAAAACCAAGGGAAAATCAATGATTTTGGCCTCTTCGGACTCTCCTGGAGGACCTCTTGGAGGCCTCTTGGGCCGTCTGGGAGGCCTCTGGGGGGCCTCTTGGGCCGTCTTGGGCCGTCTTGGACTCTCTTGGGCCGTTTTGGAGGCCGTCTTGGACCATCTCGGGCGGACTTGGAGGCCATCTTGGGCCATCTTCGCGATTTTTTGAGGATGTCCCGAGCGAAACGGCCGTTTTTGGGCATTGACAGACGGATTTTCGGAAACTTGCGGGTGGCCGGCGGGACGGGCCGAAGCCCACTGGGGAGTTCTTTTAGAAAAAGAACCAAAACCAAAACCTGACTCGTCCAGCACGCCGTGCACCCCTGCAAGCAGGGGGCGGCGGATCGAAGACGCCTACGGCGAATCACCGCCGCCCCCTGCCCTTTCGGAAGCGCCGATGCGGCCGACTGCTGTGGCCAGAGGTCTGCCAAGTTATTGGGCCATATGTTCCCCGAATCGGTCTTTACAGCCTTCGGGGAACACGTGGGGGAGGACGGGGAGGAGAGGAGAGATAGGAAGGGGGGGAATGGAGGAGGAGGTCTCTTGAGTGCCTTTTTGGCTACTCTGGGTTTATATTGGGCCACATGTGCGGTCTTGGAAGCTGAAAAGAAGAACATGCCAAAATCCTTCAAAAACCTGGGGAAATTCAATGATTTTAACCTATTCGGGCCTTCCTGGAGGGCGTCTTGGAGGGCTCTTGGGCCGTCTTGGAGGCCTTTTGCCGGCCTTTTGGGCCGTCTTAGACCATCTTGAGGCCATCTTGGACCGTCTTGGGTGCATCTTGGAGCCATCTTACCCGTCTTGGAGGCCATCTTGGCCGTCTTGGAGGCATCTTGGAGGCCATCTTGGGCCATCTTGGCCGTCTTGGAGGCCATCTTGGGCGTCTTGGAGGCCTCTTGGGCCGTCTTGAGGCCCTCTTGGGGCCTTCTTGGGGGCCTCTTGGGCCGTCATGGGGCCATCTTGGAGGCCTCTTGGGTGCTGTTGGGGCGATGTTGGGGACCTCTTGGGCCGTCTTGGGCCGTCGGAGAGCTGAAAAGAAGAACATGCCAAAATCCTTCAAAAACCTAAGGAAAATCAATGATTTTAACCTATTCGGGCCTTCCTGGAGGGCGTCTTGGAGGGCTCTTGGGCCGTCTTGGAGGCCTTTTGCGGGCCTTTTGGGCCGTCGTAGACCATCTTGAGGCCATCTTGGGCCGTCTTGGGTGCATCTTGGAGCCATCTTACCCGTCTTGGAGGCCATCTTGGCCGTCTTGGAAGCATCTTGGAGGCCATCTTGGGCCATCTTGGCCGTCTTGGAGGCCATCTTGGGCCAAGTTGGGGCAACAAAGGCATTGACAGATGGATTTTCGGAAACTTGCGGGTGGCCGGCGGGACGGGCCGAAGCCCACTGGGGAGTTCTTTTAGAAAAAGAACCAAAACCAAAACCTGAAACATCCAGCACGCCGTGCACCCCTGTGGCAAGACCACAGGGGGCGGCGGATCTACTGGCCTTCGGCCCATCCCGCCACCGGGCCTGGGTTGTGGGCCCGAGGCCTCGTGGCCCCGAGAAAGTTGTGTGGGAGCACTCGGGAGGGCCCAGAGGGCACGCGGCAGGCCCAAGCAGGCTTGAGGGCTGGGGGCTTCTGGAACAGGGCCCCTCGAAGAATCTTGGAAACTGAGGGCGGGGAACACTCCAACTCGTGCCCCAGGTCGGCGGTGCGCCCGGGGGGAAGCGAGAAGGGGCGGGCCTTCTCGGAAGGTCCGGAGGGCCTCGGGCCTTCTGCAAAGCCTCTCGACCGCCCCCGAAGACACCGCAAAAACTTGTCAGAGGACAGCTGGAGGGCCTCAAAAAAGCCCGGCCGCCTTCTGAGAAGGCCTCCTCCTTCTCACTCTCGGGGGCGGAAAAGAGGGGGGTGATGACTAGGGGGGGGTGGATATCATGGCGGGGGGCATGATATTCCCCAGATTTCATGGCGCCCCTTCTTATTTCATTACGTCCCTGGCCCCCCCGCTGGGCCGCGCACATGCCGCCGGTCATGATTTGCACCCCCCCCTCTTGGACACCCCCCTCTTGGCCGCTCCCGACACTCCCCCCCGCCCCTCGCTCGCCGCCGATAAAAGGGGCACGGTGGCGAGCTCTGCCCCCAGGGCTACGTGCCAGTGGCACGCCGACAGAGGCAAGGCCACGGGCTTTCCGCCCAGCAGGGCTCGACCTAAGCGGTGTTTCAGCGATCTCGTGGACGTTTTCGCTCTGATTACGTTTCGCAGCAAAGGCGGAACGTAGACACCACGAGGAGAAGACGAGAACAGAGCGAAAGCGGAAAACGCCGGTCGGGTCGCGCCCTGCCGCCCAGCACGCCCACCTCTGCTGCAGCTGCCACCTGAGGACCTTCCAACCCGTGCCCCGGGTGCACGGTGGCGGCTCTGCCCCCGGGCTACCCGTCCACAGCCCGCCCAGGCGTCCAGGTCGAGGGCCTGGCGGGGCCGCGGGCGGCGGCGGCGCACGCCTGCCTGGACACCTCCCCCGCCCTGCGCGGGGGCGGGGAGTGCCTGCTCGAGGTGCTGCAGGCCCTCGGGGGCCTGGAGCTCGAGGCCGGCGCCGCGGAGGATCGAAGAAGTCGGGGGCCTCGAGGCGGGGGTCCATGCAGACGGGGGTCAGCCAGAGCGCCGGATCTTGCAGGATCCTGCAGGGTCAGGGTTGCAGCCCCAGGCCAGCGCGCAGGATCCTGCAGGATCTGCAAAGCCTGACTGACCCAGGTCTGGGTTGATATCAGGAGCGAAAGAAGGACGTACATGTACATGAATCCACGCTGGTTTCGAGAGTACGCAATGCCCGAAAGTTCGTATCACGCGGCCGGTCTCGCAGATCGAGGGGCCGTGTTCATGTACATAGCTGGGCGCGTACGTCCTTTGTGGGCTCCCTATGATAACCAGTCAGTAGATCTCCCGAAGGAGAAAAGTGGGCATTAACATACATCTTCGACGGCCCGCGCGGACTTCTTGGACCGGCGCTGGGCCCCCCTGGCGGCGCCTCCAGCGCAGGCGCCAGGGAGGGGGGTCTAAAACGACGCGAGGATCGGGACAAAATCGGATCGGGATAACTCGAAATCTCTGAGAATCAGCGGGTTTGGAGGATGTATTGGGCGCCGCGGCCGCTCCAGAGCGTTCCGGAACGCTCTGAGAGCGCTCCGGAACGCTCTGGAGCGATTTATCCAGATTCTAGCCCTGTTTTAGGGTCCAGCGCCGATCCACGAAATCCGCGCGGACCGTCGAAAGTTCATTCGAAATACAATATGTCTCTTATTCTAGAGGAGGAGCTCGGGGCGGTCGAGCCGGCGCCGCCGCCCGAGGGGGAGCGGTGGCGCACCATTCTCCGGATCGACCACATGAACGACCCGAAGGGGTACACGAAGGTCCTGGAGAGACTCGCAAAGGAGGAGGGCCTGACCCTGGAGCTGTTCTACCGGGTCGAGGAGGCGCGCTACAGGGACGTGCACTGCGTCATCGATGCGCCCGATCGCACGGCCTCCGCGCGCTTCCTGAAGCAGTTCCGCGCGCAGAACGTGGACGTCGACAGGTGTGGCAAGCCGTGCCGGGAGCGTAAATCCGAAGTGGTGCACGAGCTCCCCCTCGGACCGGCCGCGGTGGAGCAGCGCCCCGCCCTCGCCCGCACGGAGTATGCCTCCCCCGGCGAGCTCGCACGGCACCTCGCCGCAGCTGGCCACGGCCCTCCCGTGGCCGCGCGGGGGCCCGCCCGAGCAGCCACGGGGGAGCGGCTCTGGGCCGCCGCCGTCGCAGGGGGCACCCGGCTGCACGTCTGCGTGTGCCCCGGCAGGAGGGCCTCGGAGCTCACGAACCGCGAGGAGCTCCGCGAGGACCCGCGCGCGCCCGCCCTGCGCGCGGACCTGTGCGCCCCGCCGCGGGAGGGGGAGGCGAACGCGGAGCTCGTGCGGCTCCTGTCGTCCGAGCTGAGGGTGCCCACGGCGCAGGTCTCGCTGCTCAGCGGGGGGAGGTCACGGGACAAGCTGCTCAAGATAGCCGGCGTGACGCCCGACGAGGTGGAGGCGATCCTCCTGGCCGCCCAGGATTGACTGGCAGCCTTGACTCGGGTGGCCTGCGATTTTGCGGCGGCTCGGTGACACGTCGGCGCACCGCACCGCGCGGCACCGAGGCGCTCGAGCTGTATGTTGCTGGCATCGCAGAAGCGAGGACTGCACAGGGCATCCAGCTAAGGGAGACTGCGGCACGACGTGGATTGCGAGGGCCGGAGTGATTTCATGCCGCTGTCTCCTGAGACTTCCCCCTCGGCCCCTCAGCCTCATTCGAGGATGACGAGCGGAGGGCCTCCTCTGTCCGTTCGACGTTCGAGGCAGCGCTGTTGAACGCATTCGCTGAATTACGCACAGATTCGGACGAGTGACGTTTGCATCACAAGAGGTCAAATTGGCTATCACGAAGTCCTAGCAGCCATTAGGGGGCGTGTCCCAGCTTGCCACGTCCCCAGCATAGTTCGGGGCGAGTGCGTTCTGTCAGTATGAAGCGCCGCACCCAGGATAATGGACAACTTGGCGGATGTGGATCGGTGAAGGCTCCAGCGCTGTCACTGCTCAGGAATGCCGCGTGTGCGATTCAGGATCTCGCAACTGAAGTGCCGGGGGCGAGGCTGTCGGCGCCGCAGAGGGCGCCTTTTCGCCCTCCACGTGGATTCAGCGCGCGATGATTCCGTATCCAGCGGCTCTCTCGCTCTCTCTCTCTCTCTCTCACTCGCTGCTGGCGTCTCCCGACTCTGCTCATGCTGCTCCTCCCAGTCTGGCCAGATCAGGAGTGGATGTCCTGGAGACTTCCCGGGCACCCCCGCCCGAGCTTCCGTGGTCGATTTTCACCCTCCCGTCTCAAACAGGAAGCGGGGCACCCGGCAGAGATCCCCGCCCAAGATGCGCGGCACCGCATTGCATTGGGCACCGGAATCCGACCCCTGGGCGCGGCGCACAGCGCCACGTGGCAGGGTACAAGGGCAGCTGCCATCCATCCTGGTCGGGACAGGGGAAGACTCGAGAGCGCCGGAACTCGGGTTTGCCGGCGCTTTTGGGCGAGCCCATCCTGGGTTTTGACGCTCCAGTGTTCGTGGGATGTTTGCAGCGGGAGCTCGCGTCAAAGTTCAGACGGGGTCTCGTCATTTTCCTGACGGCCCCACCAGTCCAACCCGAGTCCCCCGAACCCGAGTCTTTCTAGGCCTCCTAGATGGGATCGGAGCAAATAAGTTCGGAGGATCGCGCCGCATCGCCGATGCATCGACGATGCGGCTCGATGCGGAGCCCGATTTTCTCCACGCCGACGTCGCCGATGCGTCGCCGACGTCGGCGATGCATCGTCGATACATCGCCGATGCACTGGCGATGCGGCGCGATCCTCTGACCCAACCTACTCGGACCCCGTCTAGGAGGCCCCTAGTCTCACGACTCCCCGACACATGGCCCTGTGGTTAAGTCGGGCCTGTCCCTCTACAGGGGGAATATAAAAAAATAGTCATAAAAGAGTCGTGGGACTATTTTTTGAGTATTTTGGGGCATCTTTTGGGCATGTTTTAAGTATTTTTTATTTTTCGTCCAAAATCCCCCTGTAGGGGGACAGGCCCGACCTAACCCTGCGGTGGCACGGCGCCAGAAGGCACCGCTCCGGGGGCGCGGCGCACGGCCCCCACGCCGCACGGCTCCGCAGAGCAGAGCTCTTGGGGCCCTGGGGGGCACAGCGCACGGCACCCCGACGGCGAGGCTCGGCATGTGCGCAGGCACGCCCCACATTCTTCCTCGCCAGCATCCCCCGTAGCCTGTTCTGTAAGCCAGACCTTTTCCCACATGTCTTATCTCCCGATGTGTAGTGATGATTGTGCAAGTACAGCATACAGACATACATACATACATACATACATACATACATACAGACAGACAGACAGACAGACAGACAGACAGACAGACACACAGACATACATACACATACACACATACACACATACACACATACACACATACATACATACATACATACATACATACATACATACATACATACATACATACATACATACATACATACATGCATACGTGCATACGTGCATACGTGCATACATGCATACATGCATACAGACAGACAGACAGACAGACAGACAGACAGACAGGCAGACTGACAGGCATATATACACATGCATTCATTCATTCATTCATACATACATACATACGCACATACATACATACACACATACATACACACATACATACATACATACATACATACATACACACACATACATACATACATACATACATACATACATACGGACAGACAGGTATATAGACAGACACACAGACAGACAGACAAACACGCACACATACAAACATACTTACATACAGACATACAGTGAAACATACATACATACATGCATGCATACATACATCAATACACAAACAGACAGGCAGGCAGGCAGACAGACAGACAGAGACATACAGACAGACAGACATACAGACAGACACAGACACACGTAAATGAATGCATGCATTCATACAGACATATATACACAAACCGACAGACAGACTGATAGACACACACAGACAGACAGACACGCACACATGTGTATCAGCATATTTGAATATTTTGAATATACATATATATACATACATGCGTACATAGATGTATGTATGTATGTATGTATGTATGTATGTATGTATATATGTATGTATGTATGTATGTATGTATGTATGTGCTATCATTTCAAGGGAGCCTATGCAGCTCCCCTCCCGAAACGAGCCCGCCGTCTAAACCACGCTTCAACCCTGCAGTCTGTTCAGTTTACCCGCCCCAGCCCTAGGGTCTCAGGGCTGGTGGCGAGGGGGCTGGTGACCCGCGGCCAGCCAGCGACAGCCGCAGGCTGAGCTGGTCGCTTCTCGGGCCTGCGAGGCCACCCGCGCCCGCCGCGGACCCCCTGCTTGCCCTAGGGCCGCGGTGGGTGGCGCCGTGGGCGCTCCTCGCTCCTGGCGGATGCGCGGCCGCGGGCCTGCATGGCCCTTCCCGCGCGGGGCCTGGTTCGACGCGCGGTCGAACGGCGAGCTGCTCGAGTCGCTGCCGCTGGCGCTGGCGACCGCGTGCTGGCGAAGGTACAGGATTCGACTGGACAACCGCAAGGCGTGAAGCTGCTGCACCTGGAGGTCGTGTACGACCAGGGCTCGTACGAGGACGACTACGCGGCCGCGGGCCGCTGTGCGCGGGCCAGACCCGTGGGCGCGAGCGACGGCCTTTTCGCCTGGTACGCTCAGGCGGTGGGGCAGCGAGGCGGCCGGCCCCACGGCACGCTGTACCACCTCTGCGGCTGCGCGCAGGAACTGTGCGACGCGGAGTGCCCGGACGGCGCCTGCGGCATCGAGCACCTCGACGTGTGGCGGCTGCTCTAAGCGCGCGACCTGGAGAAGGCGAAGGAGGGCCTCGAGCTGGCGCCACGGCCGGCAGGAGGCCTGCGAGTTGCCGCAGGGAGCAGCTGGCCGACGCCCGCAGCCAGCGTAGCAGGCTCGGGCAGCGAGGGGGTTCGCTGGAGGCCGCCGCCACTGCCGCCTCCTCTGGGGCTGCCCCCGCCAGAGGAGGGCCTCGGTGGGGAGGAGCCCCCGCCGGCCAAGCTGCGCCGCGGCGCTGCCTCGGGTCCGGGCGCGAGCTTGCCGGGGCCGCCCGGCAGGAACCCGCTGGACGACGAGGTGGCCGACCTCGAGCGGGACTTTGAGGATTTCGAGCTGGACGACTAGCTGGCGCAGCTGGGGCAGCGCCTGAGGTCGGGAGCCCCTGCTCCGAGTGGCCGCGCGGCGGCCAAGAACGCGGCGGCTCCAGATGCAGCACGGGCCCTGTCGAAGTGCGTGCAGGAGCACACCGCCGCGTGCGCGGCCACCCGCCCGGCCGCCTCCTCTGGCCTCGATCGTTTGGCCGAGGTGTTGGCCATGACGCTGCTTGGCGGCGACGGCGCGGGGGAGCTCAGCGAGGAGGGCGAGGTCGCCCTGGGCCGCGACGAGAATAAGGAAGTCAACATCAAGCGCGACCTCTTCCAGAAGATTGCGAAGCAGCGCCTGGGTGTGCTGCTGGAGAACGAGCTGGCACACCTCAGGGGCCAGTTCACCCGGCTGTTGGCCGATTCGGGCCCAGTCGACCCGCTGGGCCCGCGCGCTACGCAGCACCTCAACACGGTGTTCTTCGCGGCGTACCCGCCGCGGACGCTGGAGGTGGACGAGATGCGCACGCTGCGAACGCTCGGCGAGACCGTCGACGGGCTGCTGCGCGGCCAGGTCGTGGAGGTCAGCGACCTGCTCATGCGGGAGTTCAAGGCCAGGACGATGGCGCTCCGCGACGGCCACTGGCGCAGCGCCAGGTGGCTCACGCTGATCCCCAGCGAGAGCATGCCGACTGGGGCCTCGCAGGACGAGGAGGCCGCCGCCGAGCGCGCCGAGGCTCGTGATGTGCCTCCCTGGGCCCCACACCTCGGCGCACAGACCGTGGCCCCACCTGCTCGGCGGAGCGCACCGTGGGCCACCGCTCGGCCAGCCTCCTCTTGGGCCCCGCGCCTCGGGATGCAGCCCGCGGCCTTGCCTCTCGTCGGCGGAGCGCACGCTCCCCTGCTCCACTGCGGGGCCGCCGGCCAGCCTGCTGTCCGGCCGGCCACCCCGGGTCCCGCGCCTTGGGGTGCATCCTTTCGGTTTCCTCGGCTCCTGGCCTGTTTGCTTTTGTTGCCTCTGCTCGCCGTCTGGTGGGTCGTCCTCCCCCTCTGTGCTCGCCGCCGTGCGTCGCTCCGCTGCCCCCTCTCTGCGCTCGTCCCTCGGGTTGTCGCCCGGGGCTTCGTCCTCCTCCCTCGGTCGTCGTGTCGTCGTCGTCGCTCTATTATCATCCCTCTCCCGGTTTCGGGTTCTCCCAGGTCCCCCGGCGTCGTCCCCTCCTGTGCCTCATGTTTATGTTTTGCTTTCCCGGGCCGTCCACCCTGGCTCGCGCTGGCGCCATGTCTTGAGGGACTTTCCGCGGCGGCCCTCACTGGCCGGCACCACAACCACTTTCCACTCGCCGCCTTGCGCCAATCCTAAGCGTGCCTCGACAAGTGCGTTCAGCGTACCTGTCGCCTGCTGGCTTTCCTGTCTTCACCGCGGCCGGCGTTGCCTCCACCGTTGTCTGGTCATCATGCTTGGTACCCGCCTCTGGTCCTTGCCCATATTGTCGGGCCCTCCCCAGCCGCATTGTCTCCTGGCCATTCCTGCTGGCTTCTCTGCAGCACACCCCGTTGCTTGCTGAAGTCCCTTTCCTCACCGTGGCCGGCAGTGCCTCCACTTGTTGTCCTGTCGTTGTCGGGCCACCCCATTGCCGCACTATCTCATAGCCGCTCCTGTTGGTTTCTCTCCACGCGCCTGTCCGACTTGCACTCTTGAGTTTCTGCACGCTCAAGCATCCGGCGGCTGCTTCCCATCGGCACACGCCCGGCGGTAGCCATCGCAGCGCCACCCGCGAAGGCCTTCGCTGAGCTGGACCCACTGGCCGCAGAGTAAGAAGTGTAAGTACAGTCGGACCGAGGCATAAGATCGAGGTCGGTTTGAGGAGGGTACCCTTGGTGTTCTTCGTGATTGTTGGATTGTTCTTGTGCATCCTGAAGCTGGGGGAGGGTACCCTCGAATGCTCGTCACGTTGGCCGGCGGAGGGTCTCATGTTGTTGAAGGATGTTTTTCTGGCTCAGGTCCGACTGTAAGAAGTGTGAGTATGAATGCTGGGTACGGCTAAGCTGAAGATGGCACGTGCGAGGAGAGGAGGAAGGGATGCGGAGACATCGCACTACTGGCACGAACACCATGCGTAGGATATGGGGAGCAAACACCGCCCATCATGACTCCGCGGCCGGCTCCCATCCAGTTGCGGCAAGAATCTGGGTGGGACGAGATCGGTGCGCGCGTCTAAAGGATCTCGGGCAGCCTGGAGCAGTGGGCATCTTGAGGTGGCCCTCCTGCAGGCCCGCAAGAGACGGGGCGGACCTCCCGTGCTGCCCACGGCGCCAGCGCCCGCGGCTCGCCGAGGGCTCGTAGGGTCCCGGCGATCTCTGGCACAGGCGCTGGTTGAAGGACGAGGCCCGGCAGGCCGCACAACAGTGTCAGGACATCGCCAGTTGCGCTTGGGCTTGCAAGCCTTGGCGCAGGCAGTGCACACAAGGACTCCTGGACGGCGCGCACGACAGGGTGCTTCATGATCTGTGAGGGCGGGTGGACGCCAAAGGTGCTGCGCAGACTTCCCACTCGTTCCCAAAGCTCGTTCCCTCGTTCGCCCTCCTGTCTCGTGGAGCCTCGAGGCCACGGACAAGCTGCCCAGCCATGCCCGACGCGATCCTGCGATCAGCTCCTTCGTTCCATCGATGCTGGCAGGAGCCTCGAGTAAGTTGCCCGCCCGTTTCCAGCGTCGTGCTTTGGACCCGTTGCCCCATCCCCAGAGAAGTTATCTGGTGGCCGCGGGCGGTCGCTCGTTCGAGGCCTACGGAGGCTTGCAGGGTCTTCTGGAGGCCCCGAGAGAAAATTGTCATAGACGTGTCAAAGTTCAAACCTCGATCCTCGAACTGGATCTCCGAGGTCCTGCGCTCGTTCGTTCGCTGCCTCGCTGTCTCGCGCGTTCCACTGCTCCCCCCGAAACCTCCTCAGGCTCGAAGAGCGAACAACGTCCAAGAGCCTCGATCCTCGATTGTTCCTTCCAGTTCGCTCCCTCGCTCCCCACTACGTTCGCTCTCGGATGGAGGCTCGGCGGAGCCCCGATTCGGTTGTCCGCAGTCCGTTGCGTGGTGTTCGTTCCTTCGTTGTTGGTTCGTGGACCACCGTCCAAAAAAAGGAGAGAGAGAGAGAGAGGAGGGGGGACAGGGGAGAAGGGGCCCAGCTAGGCGCGCTCGCGTTACATCTGACGTCTTACCCCTCCCTCCCAACCCTGAACATGGTAAAGAGCCTTTCTCTATTCGCGCAGTCGGATGTCGAAGAGGACAACGATCCCCAAAGAGCCTGCGATGCACAGCATGGCATAGCATGGCGTAGGAGAGCTCTGCAAATCGTAGCATTGCATACCATGGTGTGGCGTTGCGTAGTCAAGTTTTGCATACCATCGCATTGCTGCGCAAGGCATAGCATCACAGCGGCACATAAAATAGAATGATACCGGAGAAAAAAAAAACAAACATATTGTTTTGATCTTCCAACTGCTCCCTTACAGGATGGGGTTATCGGGCTATAGGGCTATAGGGCTATCGGGCTATAGGGCTACAGGGTTATCGGGCTATAGGGCTATAGGGCTATAGGACTGTGACCTATAGGGCCATAGGGCTATAGGGCTATGGGGCTATAGAGCTATATGGGCTATGGGGCTATAGGGCTTTAGGGATATAAGGCTATTAGGGCTGTAGGGATATAAGGTTTTAGGGCTACAGGGCTATAGGGCTATACGGCTATAGGGCTAATAGGGCTAATAGGGCTATAGGGCTACTGGGCTATTGGGCTATTGGGCACCCCCGGGCACCCGGGCACCCGGGCCCCGCCACCGAAATCGGCCACGCACCTCACCGGCCACCCGGGCACCCGGGCACCGCCGGGCACCCGGGCACCCGGGCCCGGCCACCGAAATCGGCCGCACCTCTCACCTAATCCTTTAATCCGCTAGGACCCTATACAGAGGCAAGCTCTGATTGGGGAATTTCATGGCATGTCATGGCATGGTACGGGACAGCATAGCACGGTATGGCATTGTGTAGCCCAGCATTACACATCACAACATTGCAGAGCAAGGCATGCAATCGCATAATAGTGGCACATAGCATAGCATTGACTAGCACACCATGGTTGCATGAACAGTGCAGCCGGAAAGCCATGTTGTAGGACCGACAATTTGGAGATGAGGCCAGCGAGCAGCGGGAGCCGCATATTGAAGGACCGAACAGCGGAAATGAAACCAACGGTGCAGCGGGAGCACGATTTCGAAGGACCGGAAGCGCGGAAATAGGACCAGCGCTGCAGCGGGAGCACCATCTTGAAGGACCGACAAGGGTCGGATCGAAAAAACATAAGAGAATCAAGACCAATGTTTGAATTCCGATGTGCGAAGAACACTACGCGGAGAGGGCGGGACATTTTCTGGACAGAGAGTGAGGGGAGAGAGAAAAGTAGCATGAGTGTAAAATTGTGGTGGTGAAAGAGAGCAGACACAGAACGAAGAAGGAGGAGGATGAGGAGGCGTAGGAAAAGGAATGAGGAAAAGGAGGAGGCAGTAGGAGTTCGTCCCCTCCTTGCCTCATGCTGTTTCGTGTTTTCTCCCATGCCCTCGAGCACTCGCCTTCACCCGATCCGTTTTAGAACCATTGGACGGGCGCTCCTCCTCCTCCTCCTCCTCCTCCTCATCCTCCTCCTTCTACGCTGTGCTCCTCCTCCACCTCCTCCTCCTCTTCCTCCACTTCCTTACCCCGGCTTCGGACTACGTTGCAATCCGGATGCTGAGCTTTAGATGTACGCCACATCCGTTTGGGTATGTGGTGGTTCCTGGAAGTGGCCTCGTCTTCGTGGATCGAAGGAGTCGACGTCTTTTCCTCGGCGGGACGCGGCAGAAGGCCGGCGCAAGCCGGCGGAAGTAGAACAGGGGCCGCTCTGCCGGCGGGAGGCGGCGGAAGGCGGCTGAAGTCAAAGGTGCGCCTCACAAAGATGTCAACAGTGTTTGGAGTTCAGGGTTTCTGGAATCCGCCATGCATTTCAGAGAGAGAGAGATAGAAAGAAAAAAAATGAGAGAGAGAGAGAGAGAGAAAAAAAAGAGAGAGAGAGAGAGACAGAGAGAGTGATGTGGCGCAGTGTCGTTGCCTTCCTCCTGCTGCTCTGTGGCCATCTCGGCGCAGCGCCTCAGAGGCCCCGGAGAGGGGGGAGGCCCCTGGCGCGACGAGGGCTTGCTGCTGGGCGGCAGCGGGGCGGCCACCCCCTCCGCCCAGAGAGCGGCGCAAGAGAAGGGCATGAATCAGCAGAGCAGCCCGATGGTGCTGCACGCGCTGGCGGCGAGGGTGGGAGTGCCTCCCTCCGAGCTTCGTCACGCCGAGGCGGTGCAGCTGGTGGTGGAGAGCGGCAGCTGGTTCGGCGGCGGCACCAGCACGCCCAAGCGGGTCTATCTCTGCGTCGCCAAGGGCCGTCTGTTTTTCCTCAGGCCCAGCTTGGCCAAGGTCGTTCAAGGCTGTGGAGAGCTTCCCTACGAGCACATAGAGCGAGTAGTGCAGGACACCGGGAGCAGTACGTACTTGCAGTTTGAGCTCAGCAGCAGCCGTCCGCCCGAACTCCCTGCCAGCGTCCTGGTATCAAGCGAGAGCCGCGCCGAGCTCGTGGGCCAGATCTCGATCTGCTATTTGGCCGACAGCATGCTCAGGCTTCAGAGGGTGGCCGCGTTCCCGCTGGTGGAGGGGGACCTGCAGCAGAGGATGGAGTTCGGGAGAGTGTCCAGCTGCCTGCGGCAAGTTCGCTACCGCGCCCGCGCAACAGCGCAACAGTGTAGCAGCGCGGCAGGAACGAGGTTTACTTCAAACCCCGTGAAGCTCAGATGAGACTCAGACAGGACTCTGAATTGGAGCGGGGCTTGAACACCACCTCCTTGTCTGCTGCCTCGTTGTCTTCTTCCTTGTTCCTCGCTCGTCCTCCTCCGCCTCCTCCTCCGCCTCCTCCTCCTCCTCCTCCTCCTCCTCCTCCTCCTCCTCCTCCTCCTCCTCCTCTTCACTCTCCTGTCGGCAGGCCAAGCCTCCGCGTACCAACACGTACATATATCCTCCTCAACTTCCCGACGCTCGATAACATTTGGGCTCAGGCGCTCGGCCGTTTCAGAACAAAGATTGGGCGCTGAAGCCCAATCCTCCTCCTCCTCCTCCTCCTCCTCCTCCTCCTCCTCCTCCTCCTCCTCCTCCTCCTCCTCCTCCTCCTCCTCCTCCCCGGGCTGGCCCTTGGGCCGTGCGCCCTCGACGCCGCGGTGCGGCGGGCCAGTGAGAAAAATGTCACCGGCGCCTGCAATGTCGGAACCCGGGTCGCCCCCGCGTGCACGCAGAGAGAGTGACAAGAACAGGGCTTATTGGCTGTAGGCGGTCCAGCTCGCGCTGGCGGGGATCGGCAAGCGACGAGGCAGAGGACAGAAGCTCGAGACGCCTATCATCAAGGTCGAGGGCGGGAGCACAGGGAGTTTCGCTCGGGCGCGCCCGCGCGCTGGCAGAAGAACCAGGAGGCAGCCTGCCGAGGAGGGCGCCAGCAGCGGCGGGGTTCCACGCGACCCTTCGGGACGGGAGCCACGCCCGCGCGCTGGCGGCAGAACCAGGAGGCAGCTCGCGGGAGAGGGCGCCAGCAGCGGCGGGGCTCCACATGACCCCTCGCGCCGGGGGCCACGTCCGCGCGCTTGCAGGAGCGCTGGCCGCCTCGCGGCCCAGCGACGAGCAAGCTCCGCCAGCGGCGCGCCACAGGAGGCGGACGTCCTCAGCAGCACGAGATGCAGGACATGGGTTCCCAGGAGCGCCACGAAGTAGCGCCACGAGGCCCGTCATCGAGGTCGAGGAGAGGGAGGCACGGGCGGGAGAACGGCCACCCCGCGAGGCGGTCCAGGAGGCCGCGCCTTCCGCGGCGCTTGATGCCGTGGTGACAGTTCCGTCCGACGCCGCTCGGAAGACCTCCCCGTTCGGAGGCCGTCGACCGCTCGCCGCGGGACGCGTCCCGGGTGGGGTTCGGCGACGGCTGTCCCAGCAGGGAGGGGCTCCGACCGGCTGCTTGGCGCGCCTCTGGGGTAGTC